CTTGGAAAACTACAGTGTTGTAATGGATTCTGCTGTTGCAGGATTCTGCATTAAACCTATTTTGTCTCAGCTAGACTGGTATTTTGAATAAGGTAGAAGGTAAATTGTGTGCACTTACATTAATAATTAATAGTTAATGATGCCAGACGGAGAGGACAGAGAGCACTGATTGTAGTGTAAAATAGCTTTAACAGTAAATGCCATTTAAATCTTTAACCCTGATTCCTATTCAGTAACAGCTATGTCCCTCACATTTCTCCCTGAATAGGTGTTGCCCTCCATATACTGTACATTAAAATAGAAAACACTGCATAGAACTTAGAATTGTCAATGTGTTTTTTGTGTGTAAGTGCCTCCATGATGAGTAATCTGCCTGTCTTGTCAGGCAGCCCCTAAAAAGAGGCATATTTACTCATATCCTGAGATGAGGCATGTTAGGGTGGAGCGAAACGACTGCCACATAATTTAGAGATTGCCTGGGAAACTGTAGCACATATCTCAGCTCATTTAGATAAGTGAAAGTACTCCATGTTCCCTAAGGCCTTTACCTTGTGGAGAAGTAGTACACATATATTAACATGAGCTTAAAAGAGAGAGAAATGAATGGATTTATAAAATCCAGTTATGGTCCCACAGTTTGTGTGGCCTGTTAGCAGATTACTGGCTTTTGTTTAGCTGTGTTAGTTTAACAAGTACACTAGTGAAAAACAGCGCTCTCTGTTGTATTTGCAACACTCCTCCTTGACTGCGCTAGCAGTAGTTGTATGACTTCACTTTTAAATTGTGTTACGCCACTCAAGTATAAATGACTTCTTGCTGATGTGTGCCTTCACCTTAAAGAAAGTGGTTTGACCCTTGTTATCTGAAGCTAAGCTGGAGTGAGTTGGAAGCATTTGCAATAAATGTTCCATGTCACTTCTGAAGATAGTCTCTAGCAAGACAGTTGGGTCAAAGTGTAAAATACATAAGATGCAAACATGTTTAATCTAGTCTCTCATTTACAACCACAATGTTTGCCAGCAGACGTAATTATAAGGTAGTGCAATTTGTTTGTGTGTGTGTGTGTTTTTTTTTTTTAATTACATAAGTCCCATGGCAGCCATAATTTGATTTTAAGACTGACACTTGTTGACAAAGATGTGCAGTAATCTCAGACATTATAGTTTGAGCCACTGCAAAGGAACATGTTGTTAGTATGTTATTCAGTGGAAAGTATTTAAATCGGGCATGTCAGGGCAACATGTAGCATGACTGCCTTGAAACCCGGCATCTATACTATTAGGGACAGCTGAGCAGGGGTGTCATTTAGAACCTGATGTCAGTATTAACTCACTGCTTTGGCATGTGTCTGTATTTATTTACCAACAGCAACCTCTGGGCCTGTAAAAATGAAGCCAATGTCCAAGTGCCAAAGGTGCATTTCCTTAAATGGCCAATTAAGGCTGGTTCCAAAGATGAGCAATCTGCCGCTGTGCAGTTACCACTCTCATTTAAAGTGTCTTCACACTTAAAAGTTATTTATGTTTGAGACATGGTTGCTTTTAATGCAAGGTGGGTGCTGAGACTGTTTTGGTGCATGTTGGAGCTTTTTTAAGCTCCTTATTTTACATTATCTGACACTAGACCGACAGACACCGCAAGAAGTCTTTTCATAGCTTATTTATTTATAGGGGATGAAATTCTAGTTGTATTTTTTCTATTTTAGCAATGACGAGAGGGATTGTGTTTTTGTAATACACCCTTAGCTATGGATGCCTTGAGCTGGTCAAACTGGTGATAAGTTTGACCAGCACTGCCATTAGCACTTAGCACTCCTCTCATAATTTAGCTGCTAAAAAATAAAACAAAAAGTAGCAATAGTAATTATGGCTGAAATCTTTAAAACAGTAGTTCAGGTAACGAGTTCACAGAGGATCTTTCCTATGTGCTATAATAGCATATATCTGCAATAAGATAATATCAGAAAATGCTGGTATAGGTTTATTCAATTGCAAGTTGTTTGCAAATTAGAGTGCCAGATTTAGGTAAAGTATAGATCAGCCTATATGTAATGGACAGTCAGTACACCTCTTGCTTTAGTGATCCATTTATATAATCTTATGAAGTCCATCTTATGGACAGGGAATCTATCACAGTTAAATGTAGATAACATTCAGCTTGAAGAAATGAGAGATGATTATCAACTGACAGACTAAAATATAAATTCATTACAGTTCATTCAAATTGGGCATTTTCCAAAGTTCAAAGTTTCCTTCATTCCACAGACCGTGTTATATAAAGAATTAAAGAGCTTTATCCTCCAAAAAGAAGAAAAACAGCTCAGCAGGAACAATGGCTAATGTGTGTTTGCAGGATTAGCCACAAAGCAGCCTATTGGGTAGTAAAGGTAGAAGGGGGTGTAGTAATCAGATTAATGACTTCATGGTTTAATCAAGTTCTGTGCTAGTTCCTTCTCATTATGCTTCTTATTCTTGGTGCGTTCTCGGAGTTTACACTGGCCCCTGTGAAATGAAAATGTTTGCATATTAGGTATTATCAGGAGTCTTTGCACCACTGTATTCTGGATCTTCAAACTATCAGCACTCAATTATTATTCCAGGACAGGTTTTTCTTTTCTATTTTATCCCAGTGAGACGGATTAATTTGCGACTTATTTTCCTATCCTGTTGCTTCATGAAAACAGTGACCATGTTGCGGAGAAGAAGTGAGTTTTTTGTTTTTCTGGACAGTGCTCTTTCTGTGATTACACAAAAAGAGGAACAGAAAGAAGAGCCACCGCTGAGCCCTAGTGATGAGTATCTACAGGTGCTACTGCAGATGAAAACGACCAGTGCTGTAAGTCAAGTATTTCTGACTTAAGTCATATTTGCACAGTGATTCATTTAGTTCAGACAAACAGCAGGATTAGTCAAAGGTATGGGTAACAGTCATAAAGGGTTCTGATATACTGTTGGAGTGAAAAAAGAGACGCCGAGCTGCAGCAGAACTTTTCATTTGATGTCCAAACTTTCCTTCTTGAGTTGGCTATGACTAACAACTGACATGCAGAAATGACCTGTTACATAAATGCCACAAGAAGCTCTTCTTATTAA